GTCCTTATTAAAATAAAACTCGTTACTTAAACACAATATTTCACTGTCTAAAAACCTAATTAAGTACATTTTCGATACATTATAAAAGGACAGAGAGTGGTAATCTAATTTAAAGTTTCCACTAAAACGCACTCTTAGAATATTTCGAACACGTAGGTACTAAATACAATTTTAGAACTTTGATATATTACTTATCGAGTACAAAGCTTTATTAAAATCAGTTTAGTATTATCCATGATTTTAGACTTTGACCCCCTTATTACAAAACAAAATTTATCTTTATTCCAGGTTTAAACCATTGAGTCCGGTTTTGAGTTTTGAATCTTATTGTCATCTACCTTCAATTCGAAATACAAAACTGGGTCAATGGTTTCGACCTAGACTAAAGTAAAACTTTGTTTTGTAATAAGGCGGTGATAGTTTATAAGGATACCCGGGATGCATAAACACTGTTAACGCGATCAGGCCTCTGATTGGTTGGTTAATTTTAGCTGGCCAATCAGGACGCCGCACGTCATAAACGTCAAGTAAACTCACACTAAGCAGTCATTAACATTTATACACAGAAATGTATCGTCTTAAGTTAAAAAAGTATTTAAAATATTGCAGAAATTTTGGTTCAGTATTTATTTAGGTAGTACGGAGTCTTACAATTATTTATTAAAAATTTACATGCACCTAATAAATGGAGAAATTACAATTCTCTTTTAATAAACAGCTAAATAGCACATATTTTTACAATTTACAGATTTTAGCAGTTACAAGGATCTGTAAATACAGTTCTAATGAAAATAGTCTACAATATTCACAACAGTAAGGTTAGTTTTCCAATGGCAAGAGAAATATGATTTTGGTTCTGAAGAATGTAATCGCTAATTTCTATTTTTTCTTTACAGTAGCAGTAATAATAATAATACATGACTTTTAAAAGCATTTATATGTAACTAACTCCGAAACTGCTGAATCAATTCGAAAAATACTCAAATATGCGAATTACTCTTTTCAACGGCTGAATGCCGTTCAATTTCAATAGTCCATCCACAAAATATTGTAATAAAGATAAAGTTTCATTAAAAACTGTAGTATTATTATTTAGTTTAACCATAGCTAGTGTCTCTGTTAATGTTAATTTCCTTCCTTTCATAGGAAAGATACAAACTATGCAAATAATCCTGATAAATACATAATGGTCGAAAAATCTGTGATTTTGGTGTCACTTCAACTTGCTAATGGAAAACCACCTTTATTACAGGAATCAATAAGATACATGAAGCAGTGCACAGTGATGGCACAGTACAACAGTTCTACAACATTACATGGGCGGACAACGTTACTTAGTTAAGGCACCATCGTTCTTAATAATATGGCTCGTTTTGAAATGACAGAGGATTTTAGGTCTTATTACAACTAGCAAATAATGTTTTAATTGCGGTTTGAAAAGAATTTCTTTTTTTGAACATCCAGATAGGTATTTAGAATACAACTGCAAAAGAAAAATGTCATCAATTTACAAAAATTGTATTTATGTAATAATAATAACCGGCTGATGTCTCATTACATGTATATTAAAACTGTTCAGCGGGTCTCTGCGAGTTGGCTTCGGCCCCTCGTACGCCTTCCAAAGGTCCGGGACCCTGTGGTCCCGTGAAAGGAATGAACAAACATAATAATAATCTTAAAGCATTCTAATTTGTAGGTATATTTACAAAAAAATGTCTTTTGTGTTTTTGTAAATTGAATAAATTTTATTTTTATTCTGTAAAACGTTGCATGCTTAGTTTTTTGAGTTACCATAAATATCGTTACATCAATAAGTAGACTAATAAATACTCTTGACTTTTTTATCTACCTAAAATGTAGGTTCATATTTAAAAATACCACATGATATCCATACATGAAAAATACAATAACACCAATTCAAAACGAGCCACTTAATAAAATCTTAAATGTTAATGAGTAATCATTCGATTATACAATTATTGATAGCAATTTTACATATTATTACATAATTTATTGTGAGCAGTAAATATACAGAAGCATTTCCCTATCGGATTCAAGGCTACAGTGAGTAATATTATTTTAATTGTTTATTTATAAGGACTAAATATCCGATTTCTTAACTTCCAAACTCTCAAACAACAACTACAATGTCACTTTGACAGATAAACGAAAATGACAGTGACATTTAAATTGGATTTACGTTTCAGAATTCGATCGTTAGCAGCTGCATATTAAATGGATAATTAGATATAATTTCTATTAATGTTTATTATTCGTCAATAATTAGCATGTTTAATAGAAAACTGACCTTATATATAAAAGAGGGTATTTCAAAATTAAACCTTATTACTGTGAGATAGTTTTTAAAATACCAAGACCTACTTTTTCATTTAGGGCTCTTTTCTGTTAAGCATGCTATATACGTGGTGGTGTCCATTTTTATTCTTATTGCGTCTAAAACAGTATTTTTTATGAACTTAAGGTACATTTATTTTTTGCCTTACTTACTCATTACTTCTTGGAGACTGTAGCTGCACTTGTTTATTATTTACCCAACTTCGACGTAGCAAAAAGGAGGAATATAATTTCGACCTGTACTTAGTATAACCAACAAAACTATTGTTTCTAATGTCAAAGTATATAAAAGAATTACAACATTTTCAATACATTTCTTTTTCTTAAATCATTCTTTCAGACGCAATAAGAAACAAAACTACAGAAGCTTAAGTAAAAATAAATTAACTATTACAATAACCGAATCTACTTATCTCCAATTTGGTATGCATCTTACTAATAGTTAAATAAATTAGTTAAAAATCAGTCTAATGCGATGAAGTCGGTGGTTAATGGGCTCGAACAAGTTAAAACGTTAATTTGGGGGATAACTATCTGAAAACATATTATATTATAAGAATTAATTTATAATAATAATGATACATACACGACCAGGCGAATAAAAAAGGGCCATGTGATTTATGGTAATGTGGTGATTAAAACTAATTATTTTTTAGCAAGTAAATATTTTAAGAATCATAATCACATACAGAATGTCTGGGAATTTAATTATATATTGACTATATTAAACTCAGGCATATGATGTACCAACATCGATGAAAATATTCAAACAATGGGTAGGTCTACATCAAGTCAGTTACAACACTTTTATCGAAATGACAAAATAATTAAAATCAATGTCAACTGATTTTTAAATTACTTATAAAAAACAATATGTGATGTTCTAATTGTGACAGTTACATAATTTAATAAATGGTTTTCCAATAAAATAAAATAAGTGAAACTAGTCCCATTATTTTTTTAATAATTGTAAGTAATAAAATGTCTGTCAGTTTTACATGAAATTAAAAATATTTGAATGAATTCCAAAATTGAATTAAGTTTGAATAATCGATCAAAACTTTTGATTACAATCCAAGAAATCATAAATACGAAACTTGAATAATTTTATATGCCTGTTTCTATAAACAAGATTCGGTAAGACAAGAAAATATTGAAATTCTTACTTAAATTTATAATAATAAGTACAGATAACTGATATACACTACGATACACATAAAGATGGCGGGCGATTACAAATTGGTTAATAAATCACTCGTGTTAGACATACCGTAACTAGACAACACAAATAAAATGTTAGGATAGAGAGCAAAAAGTACAATCACACACAAAACACTTAACTACATAATTAAATTCGTTATTTAAATTAATAATAATAACACAAAACAATCACAATCACATGAGCCAGTTATTTAAGACGGAATTTTTCGAGCAAACCATCACTTTTCGTATAAACATTAATATTTAATTATCATTTAATTTCTGTGTAATTTAAAACGAAAACTTCGCAATATAACCTACAAAAAAATGGTTTGTTTGAGCAAAATTCGTTCGAAACTATTGTAATAATAAATTGTTCAATTAATTTTCAGCTTCGTTACAATTAATTAAAATAATAATCGCCGGAATCGTCTTGTATTACGAACGAAAATCGTAGTTTGTTTAGTTAAACATACAGAACAAACTTCACTAATTGATATAGACGCGAAATATTCCCAGAATACCGTAATCGATCTATTAATTAACACACAAACAACAATAATGAACGCAATAAGGATATCTAAACGAACTTTTAATTGGTTCAGTCAAGTTTTCTCGTATTTATAACAAAATTAATTTGAAAATGTGTACTTTTATTTGAAAATAGCTTCACTAGGAGGACAGACTGACACTTTTTTATCTACTTATAAGCTTTGTTTGCGGATCAAAAGTGCCGGTAGTGTAACTAATATCGACTTTAAATTTGGAATATTATGGGAAAGTATGAAATTTTCTTGATTGAAAATAAAAATGAAGGTTGATAACATGGTTTTGTAAAGATTTTTCATCTCAGCGTCCGAAAACCCGTGAAAATCATTGGCACACAAATAGTGCTGACTTATAGCAAATATTAAAACGGCTTTAATGTAAAGGTGTGAAAAGGCAATTGGTCGAAAATTGCAAACATCAACAGCCGTGCATCAAGTTAGTAAATAAGAGCTGATTGCTAGGCAAACGGTAATGTAATAATGTTATTGTGTTTGTAATCATTAAATGATCGCGACAATACTGCCTGGCAATACTAAATGACATACCGAAATGACGATTCTGTTACCGCTTACATTTATACGATTTTGCAGGGACAGCTAAAAAATAATGTGTGCTTTTATTTCTATACAAAAATATTTTATAACTTAAAACATTTTTCTTCGCGACGAAATTTTAAGTACAATAAAATTAAGGTTAAATATATATTATTTACGAGACCAATGCACAAAGGTAACAAGTAACAGTAGGTGAGCAAACAACACTATCGATTAAAACAATAAACATAGATTATATATTGCGATAAAATATTATTATAAAGTGATGTAGCAAAGTGAGCACCAATTATAATATCGTATTGTGTAGTGAGGAACTGTAAAGCACATGAAACTATCCCAAAATATCGGGCAATTATCAACTTTATTCCAATAGTATAAAGTGTAAAACATTCTTGAACTAATATAGAAGTGTGATGTACTGAGGCCTTGTACAATCGACGAATGTGTCGGTATCTAGGCAAATAAATAAGCTCTGAGTTATCGTTTGTTGCAAAATCTGTATCGCAAAATTTATATGTGTACTATAGTATAACATGATATATAAGCGAAAATATTTGTTTAATTTTCAGTCTGTATTAGAATAATGTATGTTAACTGTACTTTAAAACATTAGTTCTGAAATAATTATTAATATAAGCTTGCAATGTATTTTATTCGTGTCCTTCTATTCAAAACTTAGACATGATTTACTTTCGTAAACAAAAAAAAATCACAGAATTAGCACTAAATAACGTTCTATTTTATTAAAACCAAACTCGGAAAAGGGTGAATATGGACCTTAAATTAATCAATTCCAGTGATTGAGATTCAAATTCAACACACAATGACTAAAAAAAGTGCAGAACACACGCTAAAACTGAAACACTTCACCACAGATTATAGAAGAGTTATAATCTAGAACTACTGAAGTCCGTTCAGGTAAACTTATATATTATGGACCAGAATAGATCAGCGACGATGCAGACTGTCGCGTTTGCGATCTCCATTCGCTACAAATCGGTAACGGGGCCAAAGACAACAGTTGAATTGTTCGCCGAGTTGACACTCGTTCGGCGCGCGCGCACGTTCGACTCGTGTTCGGGATCGCTCGGCAACGATTCGGGACCGTTCGTGAGTTGGAGCCCGTTGAATTTTGAACGTAGCTGTGTTACAAGACGTTCAAGTCTGCAACACGATTTCAGTTTAGACTAGGTACCTGAAGGTGCAAAGCTTATTTATTTTCTACTTCTAAGTGCTTCGATATACCTAACGGAAAAACCTAAGCGCATGCACTAATTTAAAACCGCCACCAAAATAAATAAACTTTAATAAGTTAAACATAAAGCTGTATGTACGCAATAAATAAGTAATAATTATTAAAAAATATTTTTTATTAAAAATAAAATTAATAATTTTACTATATCCTCATACCCATGCTTTCTCTGTACATTAATAGCCTATCAAAAATAAATATTGTTTTTATTTAATTTCCCTTCTAATTCTACCTACATGAAAATCTCGTGAACTTACTTAAGCGAATGTTCCTCAGCGTTTTGTTTAGCTTTGCGCATGTCCGCAAGTTCCTTGCGCAAGCGCATCCGCTCAGCGTCGGCGTCTTCGACGTTACCGTTCGATATTTTGTTTTCGTTCGACTCCAAACTGTTGGTAATATAATTAAGTGAACTTACCGTTATAAATTAAACAACATGCTTTAAGAAAAATAATATATTTGTAAATTATTAATTGACAATTATTAATATCCGCCAATGCTAGAAGTGCACATTTTAGATTCAATTCAACAGTAAATGTTGTGGACCAAGGTATTATTATTAATTGATCGTGATGTGATCTGTGATGTACTCTTGCTCTACTTACTCTGACGACAGACAAAATGAGTGTTTAATAACCTGAAAGATAATAAATCAGTTCAAATTGAATACTAATAAATACCTTAGTCCACAACATCGAGATTTATCCAACACAACTACTTGGTTCATTCTTCATTACTTCTTATCTGGAAAAATACCTCAATTTTTGTCAGTTTTCGTTCGATAATACCTGGACAACCTGGTAACATCATCAGATATTACATGATCAAGTTTACTAACCCGTTTGTGACTCTTAAGACTCGCAACTCGTCTTCCAGTTTGACGATGCGATCCATCATACGACGCTTATCCGCCTCCGAAGCTCGCAGAGAACTCTGTAACAATATTATGTACATAAGACATGAGATAATGATACCAATTACTTATCGCTACATAGTATAAAACAGTGTTGCTTTCTCTGTCCCTAAATCCCTACCTATGATTATATCTTTAAAATTACGCAACGAATTTTGATGCGGTCTCTGTCCCTTTGTCACTCTGTATGCTTTTAAATCTTTATGGATTTTGAGGCGGTGTTTTAAACAGACAGTATAATTGGAGAAAAAGATTTTTGTGTAGTGATATATTCTATTAAATAGAAAAGATATTTAGTATCAGCATTACACCCGTGCACTATATCGCTAGTAGTCCAATTTGTTTAAAACGTCGTAGTGGCCCGAAGTTTAAGGCGCCAGCTTTTCATTGCATGAGAAGGTTGATTCGAAACCTGACAAGTACCAATGTGACTTTTCCCAGTCATATGTACCTACTTAATTTCCAAGCTCATTGACACATCTCAAACTTACAATGAAGGTAAACATCGTGTGGAAACCTGATCTTAAAATTTCTAACTAAAGTTTGAAATCGCCAATTTGCCTTGAGCAAGCATGGTGATAAACGCTCAAAACCTTATCCGTGTGTAATGAGAGGCCTTTGCTCTACAGTGACCACTTATAGGCTGATGATGATAATATATTTATTCTAAGATAAAGAAAGGCCTACAATGGTATGTGTGGTGAAAACTTTTTGCAATTTAAAGACTGCAATACATACTTCTCAAGTTCGATTGAGGCAAATTTTTCAATTAACAGAATCTCTTCCTGTGTCAAGTTCAACACCATTTATCAATTTTAAGAGGCCATAAACCAAAATCTTAAATAACTAAGTTTAAGAGTTTATGAGTTTTGTATGTGGAGGTTATATTTTACGTAAGTACAAGTGCATTCGCCGGCCGTTCGGCTGCGGATAATGTATTCGGAGACACGGTATGCTGACCATGCGGCTTTGGAGCGAAGGTAAAATGCTGCTTTTGGATGCAAGGGGTAAACTTTTGTCTGTTAGATCGAGGTATAAGAAGAGATGGAAGATTGCTTTTAGCGTTAAGACCGTATTTTGTACTCATACTAGTTTTTTTGTTTATATTAAGTTGCGTTTTCGTAAAATATAAAAATAAAAAACCTTCTCAATCAATTTAAGTGTGGGAGAACCATGCTTCGGCACTAATGGGTCGGCTCGACCGAAGCGATACCACGGCCTCACAGAAAACCGGCGTAAAACAACCACAGCGTTGTGTTTCGCCGTGTGAGTGAGGTTACCGGAGGCTCAATCCCGCCCCTTTCCCTATCCCCAAAAGGCCGGCAACGCACTCGTAACTCCTCCGTTGCGGGTGTCCATGGGCGGCGCTGATTGCTTACCATCAGGTAATCCGTCAGCTCGTTTGCCGAACTATTACATAAAAAAAATAAGAAAAAAATATTTTGTCAGTTTCAAAGTAAAGGTAAATAAATAAATCTATTTGTTTTGATACCTGGCAGGTATCCACGTAGGTCGAGAAACCTTTATTTCACATTAAATCACAGTTCATAAAGCAATGTTTGGTTTTTAAATATTTTAATTTACCAAATCGATCAAAATATTTATGTAATTCCAATTTTATATTTTACTTTTTTAACTCATAACAGATGTTCTAAGTACTTTACTTAATATTGCGGATTTTCTTATCATTAAAATTTATATTAAGTATATTATTGTGAATTCGTAACGAGCATCATTTTAGCGGCTCAACTTTCTCACCCCGCGCTGTGTTTCCGTGCAAGCTGTTAAAGCTGAAATTGCCTGTATCTCTTACACAGAAAGCAGCGGTCCCAAGCTGTATAGTGGCAGTAATAAGTGGCTGACATCGAGATAACATAACACCCCCATCATAAAAAGCTTTTCATGGATTTTTATTATAAGTGTGGGAGAGCCATGCTTCGGCACGAAGGGGTCAGCTCGACCGGAGTGATATCACGGCTTCACTGAAAACCGGCGTGAAGCAACACTTACGTTGTGTTTCGCCATTTGTGGCCCAATTCTTTCACCAATTAATCTGAATTGAGCAAGTACGGTGATTAATGCTCGAACCTCTCCGTGTGCGAAAAGGTCTGTTTAGTAGCAGGCTTATTATGATGATAATAATGAAGATGGTAGGGCAGGACATCTTCCCACAAGATAGACTGATCGCTGGATGCAGTTTGCCAAAGTTTAGTATAGTCTTCTGAATTATATGACCATATACTCATTCCTGACCATCAGTAGTTCACGGCTCAATTCGCTAGCAGTGTGGCAGTGACAGGCGGGAATGGTCCGATAGATCACAACACATGAGATATTATCCTGCGATAGCCAGCTATGATGAAGCTATTTGCTGGTGGTGCAAGCAATTTACTTTAGCGTCAGAGTCTGAAGTTATGAAGGCAAGCAAGAAGGTTCTAGTTTCAAAACTAGATGGCTTTTCTAAGGGGTTTTTGGGGGAAACTGAATTGGTTCCAACTGGAGTTATTACTTCGGAAGATTTTGTTAAGGATAAAAACACCCTTGGTTCGCCGTGTGGATATCAAAAGAGCCGATTAAGAAATTAACCATTTCACAAAGACCAGTCAGCAATGAAACTCTTTTGTTATTGTGATCATCGACCAAATCTACTGAAGGAAAACCTTATTTCGAGAAGACCCATTCCAACAGGGTTGGCAACGGCGACAGCCTGTCACAGACAGTCACTTGTGGACGATAATAATGACTTAAAAACACAAAATATTTACCCAGTAATCCAATAGTAACTTAATTAACCCGAAATTTGTGAATCACAAAAACAGCTTAATTAGTGTTTCGTGCGGGAATCGAGCCCGCGAAACGTTGCACAGCAGCTAGTTGCCCAGACAATACACCAACCGTGCAGTCATATAGAATACTTATACTTAGCCATACCCAGAAACGAAAAAGAAGTACTTAATGTATATATATTAAATCCGCCTCAGCCTCCAACTCAGGCCTGGAGGCGTTAAGTAAGATTACACGGCTAAGTCTATATGCGCACACAAACAGACAGACAGCCGGCGGGCAGTTAATTTTGTTGGTTCCGACAGTTTCCTGTGTATATCTGATACACTGTTGTCGCGGATACCGGTATATTGACATGTTTGTTCATAGAAAAAATTGATAAATTCGCTACTTTTTGGAAGCAAAATTATTATTTTTATTGATACACCAAACCCAACAACGTGCATCAGATTGGTGCCCAACGGGGCAGCTTTGACATGAAGCAGGTGAAGGAACGGGAGGTTTTTAGTCAGTAAGAGCCGGACACTCTCTCGCCATATCCTGGGCGAGAGAAGTCATTGGATGATTTTCCCTCCTGAAAGGAAGCTGCCTCCGAAAAGGCACCACACAAAGTTTCTTGATTAAATTGCCTTAAAATGAATTTGTAAACGGGTAAAAAGATCTATAACTTAAAAAGTCCCTTTAAAAGAAGACGGATAATTACTTCATTCGTAGTCATAGTACATGTCTTTAATTGCAGCCATTTGTTGATTCGTTCTGTCATTATAATGAGGAGCAGAAAACAGTTTTTTCACAAAAATTTTCTTACTTCATATTAAGGGACAGTGTACAAACTGATACTAAGGAAGCCCAATAAATTCTTTCGTCCCTAAACAAGACCATTTTCAACCTCTTGAATCAGTGACCAATTGAATCATAGGAGCGCGGTCCTAGGTATCATTTGAGATGCTCATGATCTGTGTCTATAAATTAAGTCGCCATCAAGGTGCTGGTCGCATCTTGAGAATGTATAGCTGATACGTTCTTCATATCACAATTGAGGCCCATCTATTAATTCATCAAACTGAATTCGCACATGTATTGTTCTTCTATCGTGTCTCGAATAACCACGATTGAAAAGTTATTACGCGCCTTAAACGCGGTGGGCGTGGCCCAAGGGATACATAGGTAAAAAATCTCCATAAAAAGTAACAATAACAACACCTACGTCAAAAAAACCGAGTTTTTCAGTTACCTAAAAGCCTTATGGCAATGGTTACTTAGCGGGCACAAGTGACGCATTAACTTGACCATGTTAATCGGGTGTTGCCGTACGTTTTTGCACTTCAATTAACTTATTACGAGGCGAGTGCCAGTGCTAATTATACGGACAAACGTACAGTAACACCCACGCGTAAATAACTTGTATGTTGAGGTACTAGGTACTTATGAAAGTCGGTCGGTATGCCCTTTGTTGCTGTTGTTATTTCGAACGGAAGGAAAAGGGGTAAATTCAGTAAAAATATATAGGTGCCTACTTATTGTTTGTGATCGTTATTTTGTAGGTACATTAAAATTGACGTACGATATTAGCAAGTGCGGCTTGGCCAGGTAAAAATATTTTTGATATCAAACCTATGTTTAATTCAAATTAAACTGCATCTTAAAACTGTTATTACTTCCAAAACAAAATCTTTTGAATACTCTATTTTTTTACTACCTCCGTTCTCTTTGATCGGTTACCTACCAAAAGACAAAATAACAATAAACGACCGCATTATTAATTCAAAAGATTATTTTGAAAAAAGAATCGTAATGTTGGCCGGCATGACGTCACTCTCGTCACGTGACGGCGCGCGGCGCGCGTAGGGTGGCGGCGCCTCACTGCACCGCCATCCACTTACATCTGCCAATATTTGCTCACCAACCCCCTTCCCGCCCCATACCCCTCCCCTAAACACCCCTCGCACGCACCACCCGTTCATATTTCAAATGCTATGATGTGGGGTGACACTAAACACTACAAAATACAAAGTTACAGGGGCTGCTTTTACACCGTCGTGTAACATTTATAGGGAACTGTAACGTATAAGTAGTAAAAATCTTTTTTTTATATACCTACATTTTTCTAGGTAAACTAACTAGTCTAAGAACGCAAACGAAATATTTCCTGTTCTCCAGAAAAAAAGCGCAGCTGAAATAGAACTTGAACTAACAGTTTTTACATCATTTTTTTTAATTCGATAAGTAGGTATTC